ATATTAAGAGTATTTATCTTTAAATGTGGAGTCATATCAAAGATGGATGCTGACAGATATTAGGTGATAGAAATAAATTTTAAAAAGCTATAAAGAACCATAAAGGTGCTAGTCCATTAATCTCTCACCAACAGAACTGTGCATGTTTATGTCATAAGATAGAGTTCAAGCCTGTGAATTGAAAGAGATTATTTACCAACTTGCTTGGAAAAATAGATTTTATGTTAGAAAAAAATTTAAAGTTAAAAGTTAGTGTAGGGCTGGGGATGTGGCTCAAGCGGTAGCGCGCTCGCCTGGCATGCGTGCGACCCGGGTTCGATCCTCAGCACCACATACCAACAAAGATGTTGTGTCTGCCGAGAACTGAAAAATAAATATTAAAAATTCTCTCTCTCTCTCTCTCTCTCTCTCTCTCTCTCTCTCTCTCTCCTCTCTCACTCTCTCTTTAAAAAAAAAAGTTAGTGTAAAAACAATAGGGAATAGATTCAGTATCTCAGAGTGGACAACTTCTTTGTGAGGAGGGGACAAAATCAATGCAGGATACAAACTAAAAGCACCATGAGAAGCCACATCACACATACGAGATGGCTAAAACAAAAGAGATGATATCAAATGCTGACAAGGATGTGGAGAAACCGGAACTCCCTTAACACTGTGGTGAGAATGTAAAATGGTGGGAAACAGTTTCCTGGCTCCTGGACACAACTCTCCCTGTGATCCAGCAATTCCACTCCTGCATACATACCTCAGAGTGCTCCAACAAGGATCTGTACACACATGGTCACAGCCGCATGATTCACCACAGCCAAAGAGGGGAGACCACACCAATATCCATCAGTGGGTGAATGTGTAAACAAAATATGTTTTATTCACATGAAGGAATATTTTTGGTCTAAAGAAGAAATGAAGTGCTGGATGTGCTGATGAATACATATACATTCCTTATGTTTTTATTGCCTCTCACTTGCCAATTCACCCTCTTTGCTTGCTCTGTGAGAGTTGGTGCTTATAAGTTTCTCTGCTTTGTCAATCCTAGCTCTGTTAAATCTTGGGTTGAAGGGATACTGAGAGAGATATGGAGTTTTGATTTCAAACTTAGTTCCCCTCTTTTTAGACAAAGGAACTGGGCTCAGAATGTTGCCCGAGTCACACACACAGCAATAAGTCACGGCTGGAGCTGAAGCTTGGGTCTGCTGCTGGGGTCCCCAAATTCATCTGCTAAGCAGCTCCCTTCCATGTGGCCCCTCCCCACTTCCTCTCAGGTGAGAGCACACATCTGGAAACCATCATTCCAGAGCTTGGTTTTCTTTTCTGGCTCCTCACCCTGATCTCTCGCTCCATCTTGGTTCCCAACTGGCTTATCCCATCCAGGTCCTTTTTCCAGCTCCTGGCAAGGATTTTTGTTTCCATGGCATCTGACACACCTGCATTGGTGTGCAGAGGGCAGGTGAGCTCCCTTGGCTCAAGCAGGCACTGGAGTGGGGTCAGAGGTTTGACCCACCCATCCAGCTACTGAGCCTGGAGAGGTTGACACCAGTCATAACCTACCAACAACCTACAACTGTGAGTCTCTAATGTCAAACAAGGAAAGTAAATCACAGAAAAAAGCCTCCCTGGTTTGCCCAACACCATACAGACAAAAAACTTGCTGGTCTTGAGGTGTAGGGGGGTATTTTTTGTCCTATCTTAAGAGCATGTCCCTTTCAGTGTGCTTGCTAATATTATTTCACATTTTAATTTTCTTCTAAAACCCCTTTGGAGCAGAATCGATTATCATATAAATTCTTGTCTTCTCTAGGTTTTCCATGAGAATGTATTTTTATATTAAAATACAGTGTGGCATTATCCTGTGTGCGTTCTTGTTGGTTAGTACAGTTACTTGACCATTTTCTTGGATATTGTTAATTTCTTATTTATATATTTTTAAGATATAGATGGACACAATACCTTTATTTTACTTATTTTTATGTGGTGCTGAGGATCGAACCCAGTGCCTCACACATGTGAGGCAAGTGTTCTACCACTGAGCTACAGCCCCAGCCCAGATATTGTTAATTTCACTGAATTAAAAAAAATGATTGGGCTGGGGGGGGTGTRCTCACTGGTGGACTGCTGGTCTAGCTGGGTTTCATTTAGAGCACTAAAAATCAGGAAATTAATTACTAAATAATGAATAAAAGATTAAATATAGCATGTTGCCAATAGGTAGAGACCTTTTCTTCTCTCCATTTTTTACAGCATTTCCTTGAGAAAACCAGTGATCAAAATATTTCTTTGTCCCTAAAAAGTGAAATAAGCTTCTTGCCTGCATTGCAGCTGGTAATGTGTTTCTGAAAGCCCTGAGGGTCATCTCTCTGAAATGGGTTGTCTCCCTCAAAGTCCTCCCTGTTTCTGCTTCTAGTTTCTATCTATTGTTTTCCTGTATGAATAGCAACTGAGGATTCATTTTCAGAATTAAGAAATTTGGTCAATTGACAAGAACCCCGTTAATCAACAGTGTCATTTGACAGCAAAGAAGCAGTACGGACCGACATGATCACGTGTGTCACGAAGGTGAGAAGGTGTTTATCTTTGCTCAGTTTCTCCAAGAACGTGCTGTGCTGTGCTCTTCAAAATCATGAAGCACACTTGTTCTCCTAAAATACACACCCTCTTTAAAATGAAGGACAAATGTGTCAAGGCATGTTGAAAAAGGACAGTTCATTGTTCACAATCAAATAATGAAGACTAAACATCAAATGAAACTTTATATGTACAACAATTCCGGGTACTACAACTGAACTAAAATATAATAGATACATAAATGAAAAAGATAACAAGAGAAAATCTCTATTAAAAAGTAAAATTACTTGGGTACATACAACAGATAAAACACCCATCATATAACTGATTAGGAACAATATGTTTTCAAAGCAATAACTATCTTAAAATTATTTAAAATCAATAGAGTAATAATCCAGTAGCCAATATATTCAAAATAAACCAATAAAATGCGAAATATGAAGCAAAAGTATAACAATACTATGGTTCTAATTTCTTGTTTAAAAGTAATTCCCTCTCCATCAGAATCCCTGCATGCCATCTTCAAATGGTCCTAGACTGTAGTAACTATATATAAAAAGTAGGACTCTGACATTTTACCTCAAGGATGATTTGTATTCAATACTCTAAAATGTAGGGAGTGACTCAGGAAACCATGGAACCAGAAGAAACCAGTTTCTCATCATTCCCAGGGGAAGTATCTCCCCTACCCCCAGCTCCCAGGATTACAATTCTAGCAAATAAGCAGCTGTTCTAGAAGAGTCTTGGTTCTTCTGGACTATCTATACAGAGGTTCTTCTCTTCCTTTCTCATGACTCTCTGTGTCCCCATAGACATCCTGCTGAAAATGTGTCTCCCCCAGTGATCTGGAAGGAAGAAGAAGTTGTTAGACTTCGTGGACCCAGTTCTGTAGACATGAAGGTGAGTTACACTCTGAGCCAGTCCTAACTAGAGCTTAGACCAACTTACAAACCTTTATCCCTGATCCTCCATTCTTGACACCAGCTCTGAACCATCTTTTTAATTTTGGTTCTCATACTTTACTGACCCCAACTCTAAAAGGTGTTTCATATGTTTCATATGGTCAGGCCCAGAGTTCTGCTTCATTGCAAAGACTTGAGTTGATTCTGCTGGTGGATTAGAGCACACCTGTGAATGGAGCCTTGGCCATAAGTCACATCCTGGTCCTTGCCAATGACTTCACATCTGAACTGAAAATCAATAACATACCAACATCGAGGACCAGGGTACCAGTTGACTGAAATCCCTATCTAATCCCTAACAATTCCAGATAATGACTGCTCCTAACTTGACTGCTTGCACATGATTTAAACCAAATCTTTGCTTTATGCTCTACCCAAATTTGTAACTCTGATGTATTGCTTGTAAGAAGATGCCCTGGTATTTCTTAACCTGATGTGGTCTGACAAACTTCCTTGACCATGAACTTGAGGGGAAATGATATCTTTGTGGGAGAGGAGAGCTTCATCCCCAAGCAGTGAATCAGTGGACAAAAGACATTCAGGAGTTAGTTCTGTCTGTAAGCCATTTGTTTGAAAGCAAACTGTGATGAAAATAGAGTTAATGAGAATTATCTTCATTGTTGAATATGTGAATAGTCGCATAGAATATCTTATCGGGGCACATTCACATTGTTCTAAATTAATTTTCATACTTGGGGGCTGGGGTTGTGGCTCAGCAGACCCTGGTTGATCCTCAGCACCACATAAAAATAAGTGAATAAAATAAAGGTATTGTGTCTAACTACGACTAAAAAAAAAAAATCTTCATACTAGGTATCCTTAAAGGATGAATGGTCCAAAATGAATTAAAAGGAGAGGGTAAAAAGGCAATTAATTTAGGGCTGGGAATATAGATAGCTCAGATGGTAGAGTGCTTGCCTTGCATGCACAACATATTCAGTTGTAGTACCCCGAATTGCTGTACATATAAAGTTTCATTTGATGTTTAGTCTTCATTATTTCGTTGTGAACAATGATCCCCAGCACACACACACAAAAAGGGCAATTAATTCACAGGGGGAGAGAGAAACTCGTGGCTATTTCATGGGATATTATTCACTTTAGACAGAGACATTTCATAAAAGCTGGCGTTTGGGCCCAACTGGTTTGGGTTAAGGCACATGTGTGCCTCTGTAACAACTGTTTTTTTCTGAGGTCTGGCTGAGCAGCATTATAGCACCCAGTAGCACATCTGTAGTAGATGATCTGTGTGGTTGTGGTTTTGAGGCTGTGAAGCTGACCAGGAGATTCAGATTGTGTGTGCATGTTTGTGCCGTTGCATGGTGTATAGAGGGTGGCTGTGGGTGGGAGGTGACATGAGTAGGTCAGTAGTTGGGTTCCTTGGATCTCCTAAATAGACAATAAATGGGCCATGGAAACAGAATTTCATACCTCCCCTCAGGCCAATGACTTCAGGCCTCCATGGACCTATGTCTTCTAGGGATTGAGGGTACGATCTCGGCCCCACACCCAGAGTTCCGGATTGTAAGTTTGAATCTGGAAAGAAAAAGAACCCCCCCCCAAAAAAAAAAAACTGATGGTTGCCCACTCCTTCCCTGTGCAGCCTGCAGAGTTTTCTCTGCAGAGCCCACCTGCAAACCCCACCTCTCCGTGTCTCTCCTATCAGCCCATCCCTCTCCCCCGACAAGCACACACAGCACCACCCACCTCCTCACACTCCTCCCTGGAAACCCGAGTGTTCCAGCCCATGGAACGGATGAATTGGTAGCGCAGCTTGTGGAACAAGGGATGCTGGGCGTAGCTCTTCCCATAGAGGAAACGAAAGATGTCTTGTTTAGGAGCCTGGTTGTCCTCCTCCATGTCATTGGCCAGGTAGCTGGGGAAAAAAATCAGGTGGCTCCTCAGGGATACAACCAGGAAGGACCTCCTCCTGAGGTCAGATTCCCCCAAAGGAGGCCAGGCTTACCATTTTTAGACAAGACCGCACCATCCCTATCCAGTGTTACGGATGATCATCCCTTGGTCCAGAGGCCCCTGATAGAAGCCTTCTGAAGGGGGTCTCTCTCACACCCTGAGGCTGAAGATAAACCTGATGCTGGATCACCTGATGCTGGATCACCTAAGGCTCCTTCCTGCCACCCACACCCAGTGCAGTTGACATCAGTTTGCGCATCTCTATCCTCATCCCCCTCCCTTCAGTTTCTTCCATGTGTTCACTTCTGTGTCCCCCACCACGGGGGGGGTGCCCTTCTGCTTTCCTCCCACCATCCCCGATAATGAATCCTGACTGGCTAAGAAGCTAGGAGTATGAGTGAGCACACCATACCCAGGTAGTATCCAGGCTTGTTCCTGACCCTGGATAATTTATCTAGTCATCCCTTTCCTACCATTTGGCTAGCAGAGGGTCTGGTTCATATGGTGTATTAATTCAACAAGACATTATTATCTCTCTCTTCCCAAGGTCCCTCTTCCCGGCCACAGAGAATACACTTCATAATGTTCTATTGAACAGATGAATGAATGAAATCTTTATCTATAGCAAATGCCATAATGACCACCTCATAGACTCAATGCTATAAAATAATTTCTTGCAAGATCAAGATCAAGATAATTGAGCTGAGTGTCTTAACAACGTATGAATATTTTGATAGGACCCTGCCTTCCTAAGGTGTTCCGTCCAATGGCATTAGGGCAAGGAACAGGGGAGATAAGAAAGTGTAAACTGAAATAAAATATTATGGCCTTAATCACTTCCAGGGTGCAGTAGCTTACTGATCAGGGAGCACAGCACAGCCTGATGTCTTCTTTTGTTTTTCAGACAGGATCTCTCTCTATTGTCAGGCTGTTGTCCTGGGCTCCAGTTTCCTCCCACCCATGCTTTCTAAGAAGCTAGGAGTGTGAGTGAGCAACACCATACCCATGGAGGTTTCAGTGTTTTAGTTGATTCTAAGGATAGTTCATTTTCTTTAGGTACAAATGTGTGGAGACAGGAAACACAAGGGGATGAGAGAGAAGAGGGAATTTGGAAGGAACACTGAAAGAAAGTCAGAAGGAATTTAATGGTAAAAGGATTTAATGATGGAAAGATTATAGAGAAGGCTAAATGCCACACGAGGACTCCAGTTTTGTTCTAGAAAGCCATGAGCAACACAGTTGCTGAGGAGGGCTAAGATGGGGTTGCACCCAGGTTTGGAAAGATTTTCAGGGAATACCTAGAACACTATGAGCTGAGGGATATCCACAGGGAGAATTTTACAGTGGACCAGTGCTGTGCAGACAAGACCTAAATTTGGCATCTTTCCTGGAAATCCAGAGGCAGAAGATAAATGTTGGTGTAGATGTAGGAAGAAAGAGAGAGTAGTCAGATCACCGCCCCTCCAGACTAGGGACAGGATGTGCTGTCCTTTCCACCTCTCCTCCCAGGTGAACTTTATGTTTCCCTTGATTTCATTTACTCTTTTTAACCTGCCTTAAGGTGGTTTGAGTGTTTGTTTTTAGTTGGAGAATTGTAAGAAAACTATATTATAATGCTATGGTTTTTTTTTTTTTTATACCCAGAGCAAAAACAACAGAGGTTAAAAGGCTCAGGTCAGATTAGTGCCCCTCTGCTTTCCTCCCACCATCCCTGATAATGAATCCTGACTGACAGGATGAGGCAAAATACTCACAGGGCCAGAAAGAAGTGGATTCGTTGGTACTGCCAGGAGAAGAGGCCAGCCCGGCTAAAATAAGCTATGACCATAGACAGGAGGTACTGATGGAGAGAGAGGAAAAAACATATGTAGAGATCACACCATGGAAGGGAAGGAATGTGGGGACAGAAGAATGGGAGGCTGGGGAACACAGTGCCACTATTCAGAGAATGATGCCTGTTAGGGTGACCAGCTTACCTAGGGAATGGTACGGGGAGACAAAGTCAGTTGATGGCAAGTCAGAGAAGTCAGGAGGAGGGGTGGCCTAGATATGCACTGGATGGCCATCTCTGAGGGGGCCCTTCTGAGGTAGAACATTTAGGTCAGCTGTGTCAGGGGGGGTCTTTGGTAAGCTGGAGAAAAGAGGGGCCCAGAGAGAGCTAAGAGGAGATGATCCAGGAACCTCAGGTTGCAAGCCAAGAGAGGACAGCCATGCAAGACTCTGGCCTCAGGCTCAAAGCACCCAAGCGGAGGCAAGGTCCACCTGTCCTCTCTTCAAGAAGCTTCTAGGCTTTGAAGGGAGATGTTAACAAGTCACAAAGGGGCCAGGACCTGGGAGCATCGTGTTGAAGCTATGTGGAAGCACAGAGGACCAAGGGGTTAGAAAGCCCCCCCGCCATCCAGGCTGTGCTGGAGCAGGAACACTGCCCAGTGGAGAACAACCTCACCTTGTCAGACACCCTCAGCTTCTTGTCCCAGGCCAGGAATCTTTTGACAACAGGATCCTCTGTGAACAGAGCTCATATGTTAGTCTGGAGACCAGAATGGGTTTAGTGGGAGTGAGATAGAGGGGAGGGAATCAGGCCTCCCTTGGAGAATATATATTTAGGGTTGGGGCCCATGTTTAAGGTGGATAAGAAGAGGACAGGAACATTCACCTGCAAAGGACCATGGCTTAGACCTGAGACTCCACAGAGAAGTAACTTAGTGAGGGTTTAGGTAACAGCCAGGTATCAGTATGATTAAGAACTTAAACCGAGGGCCCAGGATTACCTCTGACTGCACCACCTCCTAATTAGAGACTTACGTAGGGCATTTTCTCATTTGATAGTCACATCAGAGTGGGAACTTGGCTTCATTTCCCACCTCTCAGGGATGATGATATTTAAAGCCAGAATGTCAACGAAAGTTCACTTTCAGGGGGACAATTGGAACCAAGCTCTGTGATCCCAAGCAGGGACCTTTTTCAAAGATAGAATAACTTCTGTCATCTAAGGATCTCTGAGGGAAGATGGGTTCTGAGTCCTCCAGGCATGGGGAGTTCAGGGCTAGCAGGGCATCTTTTCCATTGGAATAGTGCAGTGACTATGTGTCATCTTAGTAACTCAGGAGGCTGAGGCAGGAGGATCACAAGTTCAAAGCCAGCCTTAGCAATGCAGCAAGGCCCAAAGCAGAGACTCTCTCTCTCAAAATAAAAAACAAAAAGGGCTGGGGATGTGACTTAGTGGTTACATGCCCCTGAGTTCAATATTTAGTACAAAAAAAAAGTACAGTGAGTGGAAGTTTCCTTCTTGTGTTAAGAACTGGACTGGAGGGTGCTAATTGGGGTATCTCCCTACCTAGCAGCCTGGCAAAGACTTCATGGTGCTCTGGTTGCACCAGGTGTACACGCTGTCTCTTTAACGTCATCTCGAGCCCACACAGGGTCTCCACATCCCAGGGGTGCTTAGGCTCAGGATCCAGATCCTCCAGTTCCTCCTCTGAATCAGATGAGCACTCCCTCTTCCTCTTTTGGCCAGAGAACCCACTCTGGAGGCCAGGTTCTACCCTGGGGTTTGAGTCCAAAAAGCCAGGCAGATCCTCCTCCAGCTCTTCCCCAGAATCTGATGACCATTCTGTCTTCCTCTTCTGGCTGGAGGACTGAGGCAGGCAGCTGGGTTCTACTGTTGGGGCTGAGCAAAGAAAGCCAAGTCAAGCTTCTGTTTGGGGAATTCAGCCTTTTATCATGTATGTCCAAACCACCTCCCGTCAAAAACCCTAACCTCTTCAACTGTTGCTTTCTCCTTTGCTGATGACCATCTGCCCCTGATTCTCCTTGCCATCATCCCATCTCCCGGTTCCTCAAAAACTCTTGCTCATTATGGACACTTTCTCCCATGAAGGGGAGTGATCCTTCCTGTGTTCCCTTCACCAGCTTCCTCTGCTTGAATCTCATCTCCTAACCCAGGTTGGATTTTCCTCCCCTCTGAGAGTTCCTTTTCAGAGCTCAGTCTGGCAGGAAAGGAAGAATATCAAGGAAATTTGGGGAGAGAAGAAATGATAAGACCTCCCAAGAGGGAGCTAAATAGGTACAAAAGATCACAGGTACACTGAAGAGTGGGCTGGATATGAAAAGACTAGGTTAGGCAAAGTTCTTCTGCTGAATGTTTATTGGCCTTCACTGTGTTCAGTAATCTGTGCTGGGAACACATCCTGTACCCTTAGGCATCCTTGACACCTGGAGATCTGTTGAGGATCTAAAATCATAGAATACTCTATACCTGCTCACCCTCTCTTCAAATAGTGTCTACAGTGTCATGGTGTCTGTGGATCACCTGTAGTCTGCTTCTCAATTCTAATTATTCTCTATAGTCTACCTAGCTAATTTTGGTATACCAGTATTGCTCTTGACCTAGAAATTCACTACCACTTATTTTCCCTAAAGAACACATCACATGTATAAAGAGACTAATGGAAAAATCTCCCATGAAAGACAATATTTTTTCTGAAAAGCCAAGGGGAGTGCATGGGATGTGACACAGCACCCAATGGGACTGGGGAACTCTTTCTGAACCTCCTACTCKGTCTTCTGCTTTCCTGCTGGATAGTCGAATCATGCTTTATGCTTCTGACCAAAACAGTGAGTTAAGTATATACAAAATGTACTATTTTAACCACTTTAAAGTGTAGAGTTCAGTGGCATTAAGTATAGCCATGTGTTGCTCAATGATTGGGGTATGTTCTGAGAAATGTGCTGTTAGTTGATTTCATAGTTGTGCAAACATGATAGAATACTCAACTGAGATGGCTGTGACATCACTGTGGGATATCATGTGATGGAACCAATTTGTATAACTCCCCACTTCTGCTCCCACAGCTCCTGCTAACCACCATTCAACTTTTTGTCTCTATAAATTTGACAACTCTCTGTACCGCATCTGTCTTGCATACTGTGGACTCATACAGTATTTGCCCCTGTGTAATTTTCCCCTGATTATTTAACTTTGTGCACTATTCTAAGACCCTACATTGCTGGAGGGTGGGTCAGAATTCTTTCTTAAGGTTGAATAACAGTCCCATGCATGTTAGACTACATCTTTTGTACATCTATTTATCCCTCAGTGGACATTGGGTTGTTTCCACATTTGGATTCTAAGTCTTTCTTTTGCCAGTGTTGGACCATATTGACAAGAAGCACATCTGTTATTCATGCTGTGCTGGAAGTTTCATTTTGTATTTTAATGTCTTGCATGATGCTAATGAACCCAGGCCAAACAGGAGTAACGTCAAGTTAGTTCATGGAACGTGCTGGGAGTGAGTGTCCACCTTGTTTGGCTGTCATGGATGTTTGGCGTTGGATGAGGTTCCAGAGATCTTCCACATGACATGCAAGTTCCCTGGCAGCTCCCTCACAGGCCTGTGCTGCCCACTGAATTTCTCCCTGATGGGAAAAATACTGTGCATCAGGAAGCAGGTCCTTCTACTGTAGGAGACAAATTGACTGGCTGCTCTGTTTATACAATTTCCATTCATGATGCCTTCAACCCTCAGAGCTGATTGGGTCCTCCCATAGAAAATTAGAAGTTCACACACTCCTTTTTTACTAGAAAGTTTTCAAGTACAGTCATGTGCCATGTGACAATGTTTTGATCAATGATGGACCACATATATAACGATGGTCCCACAATATAAGATATTGCCTAGCGACTTAGGAGACATCATAGCCTCTGTAAGTACATTCTGTGACTTACCACGTGATATATTGACTCATGGCACATTTTCACTCTTTAGCCTCCTCGTTAAGTGATGAATGACTATTGAATCAATATTCTGTTTTCACTAAAATTTCTTTTCTGGACCATGAAGATCCTGATTATTTTTACCAGGATTCCAGTTGTAGTTTGATATTCCTGTCTCTGCTGGCCACCTGGTGTAGACATGCTTACAAGTAGGCAGTTCCCATTCTTAATAAATGTGGGTATTTGGCCAAAAATTAAGTAAACTGCCCAGATAATGTCTGATATGGACCATTGCCTCTCCACTTCTGTTTTCCTCCTGTGGATGCAGTCTGATACAACAATGACTATCATTGCTCATTGCACTGGAGAGATAAGAGGATAAGGTCACAGGGAGGAACACTACACTACAGATCCTGCTGGCACCTAGCCTTAAATATTCTTATTGAATGGACTGAGACACCACCCAACTTAACACTTTCATTGTTATAATTTCAGGTTTCAAATCTCTGGTTTGAGAAGGCCACAGAACTCCTCTAAAGAAATCAAAATCAATACAGAAGGAAATGACCAGGAAACATTTTTGTGGGTAGGCGAGGTATGAACAGGGCCCTTCAGGGCAAGACTATGACAGGCCTTGGATCCTACCCTGATTGGACCCTCTGAATCAGCCTGCAGTCTTCTTATTGGGTGACAGCCCCCTTGCTTGGCCCTGGAGTCCGTGTGAATAGGAAAATTTCTCTCACCTTCCCTTAACCTTTGGTGACTCAAGGTCTCTGGACTTTGAGGAGAACTATCCCTTCTGTCATAAAACTAGTGAAATCCTTGGGAAAAAAGAGAATGAAAGGCATATTTTTGCTTCTTCTGCTCAACATGGATTCGCAGGATCCCAGCTAAAACAAATTTTAAAAGAGGGAAAATATATGGAATAGCAGTCTTTAGGAATTTAGATCCCTGAGAGGTAATTCCATCTCATTCGTTAGATAAAAAGTTTCCAATTCACAGAGCAGGAGGGGCTTTGGGGGAGCCAGCATTGTCCCCGAGCAGAAAGAACAATGGGTAGAGTTGGGTATCTAGGGAGACATGGCACCTGGAGGTCACAGTGCAGAGAATCAGAGAAGTATGGTTCAGAGGCTCCCATGCTTGAGTTTTGTGAAGTGGGTGCACAGTTGGAGGTAAGAACTGAGACCTTGGCTGATTCCAGTTCCAGTTCTCTTCCCCATGTGGTTTCCTAGATGTAAAAAAGTGTGGCTTCCATTCTCTACATGATGCCAAGAAGCACCCAGAGAAATGTTTCCTGGAAGTTGGACTTACGGTCTCTGTGTCAGCATTGTCAACTTCATTCCTTAGTTAGGACTTAGACCAGGTCATGCTGAGCAGCAGCAAAGGCTGGCCAAGAGGTTCCCAGCACCCCCAATCCCTTCTAGACTGCAGAACTGGACAAGCTCACATTTGTGCAGGATGAGTTGAATGCTGTAGAAGAGCTGCAGGCGCGAAGATATCAAGATGGGTTATATGCCCATTCATTTGGATGAGCTAGTACTTACTATTGAGGTAGTAGGATTTAGATGGCATGACACACAATGGCAGACTGCACAGCCTAATGATCGATGTGGTTACCTGCAAAGGGATGGCTATTTAATACAAGGTTTTGCCACTGTTTTAAAGCATAGGGAAGTCATGGGGAATTCAATGACTGACATGATAACACTCTATAAAGGCATGGGATAGCATATGGACGAAAATGCCCAGATTCTTAACCTGAGCATGCTCTATGACTTTGTGTACTGCTATAATAATATATAGTTTCCAGCTGTGGATATGGACAAGTTGAGAGCAAATGTCAAGTTGTATAAAGCATAAACTTGATGAGGACTTTTATACACTTTGGACCATTGATTATTAATAGAATAATCTTAATAATCAGAAGGGGATATGTGGAGATAGTCACAGGAACTTTTATAACCAGCAAACATTATATTTATTGGCCATTCCACACCAGATTACACCAGCCTCTGGTCTGTTTTCTCCTTGGGGCTGAACTTGTCCTGCTGGCAGTTTTCATAAAGTCCTGAGGCTCACCTCCCCTGAACTGTCTCTACCCTCCACTCTTTAGCATAAGTAACCYATCAGATCCCAGCATGGAGGCAGGAAGGGAGGATGGAGAATTACATTTTTCAGCTAATCTTGAATGAGAATATTTATACATAGAAGGACCTGGAGACCTTTATTGATTAAGTTTGTATCTGGAAGATCATCTGAAGATGAACGTGTTAAAGCCTTGTTCCCCAGTATGGTACTTGTATGAAGTGGGGGACCTCTATAAGGTACAGCCTAGTGGAAGGAAATAAGTCACTGGGCTGAGCTGAGCCCTAGCATGGGATTGCTGGATCCCAACTCTTTCTTTTCTTTGCTCTTCTACACAATGCCCACCATGCTGTGCTCCTCACAGCCCCAAAAGCAATGAGTCAACTTATCCTCTTTTTAAGTTGACTATTTCAGGTATTTTGTTCCATGAACAGAAAGATGACTAAGTAATTAAAAAATTATTTTTTCAGGGAACCTGTATAGAGACAGAATTCACAGACATTTGACCAAGAAGAGAAGAACTCAAGTGTGTGTGTGTGTGTGTGTGTGTGTGTGTGTGTGTGTGTGTTGCTGGGGATTGAACCCAGGCTATATCCCGAGCCCCAGAGAAGAACTCAATTTTAAGTAAGACTCCATTATAAATGTTGGATGTTTAATTCAGATTCTGAATGAAAATTGCTATTTACTTCATGAGAGTGATTCTCACCCTATTTGATTGTGTCAAAGCTAGAGCAGAGAAAGGAGGGATTAAATTACATTGAGCTGCCAAATGTGACTTCGCGAATATCAAGTTTTTAAAAGACTCACTGTTCAGAATTTTGCATGTCCATGGTCAGAAGCTTTGTTTTTTTTCAGATCTTGATTTTTTC